AAAAAAAAAAAAATAAAACTTTCAAAACACCCACAAAGTTAAATAAAACTTTTCAGTCTATTAAAAGTAATGAGGTAAGTCCATTTAAGAAAATCTCTTTTAGGGGCGCCTGGGTGGCGCAGTCGGTTAAGCGTCCGACTTCAGCCAGGTCACGATCTTGCGGTCCGTGAGTTCGAGCCCCGCGTCAGGCTCTGGGCTGATGGCTCGGAGCCTGGAGCCTGTTTCCGATTCTGTGTCTCCCTCTCTCTCTGCCCCTCCCCCGTTCATGTTCTGTCTCTCTCTGTCCCAAAAATAAATAAACGTTGAAAAAAAAAAAAAAATCTCTTTTAAAAAATCTCTTATCTGTGTTCAATAATCAATTAACTTCATCATAATATTTGCTGCAAAAAAATTTCCATCATCATACAAATGGGAGGACACTGCATATTCTTAAGATACTAATATATTTTGTAACTCTTAAAGAGTCATAGATTAGAGTACTCTAATTTAATGAATTTACATGAAATCAATTTCTCAAACTTACTTGGCCTATCTGGGAGATCTATCTGGTAGAATCTGTCCATTCTTACAAAGACATCTATTCAGGGGCGGTGCTGTTTCTTTCCCAGAAAAGTCAACAGCAGATTAGTGCTCAAGGACATGTGCTTCCTACCACTAGTGAGAACATGTACCGGGGCTGGCAGTGGGGGAGGGGGGGACAGAGGAGCTAGCACTGTAACAGACCAAGGACCAACCAGAAAACAGAGGAAGAGCACCTGCAACATAGAAAATGTCCATGAAAAAGTAGATTAAAAACAAAAACAACTGATGATACAATTTTAGAAATACCCATTCTGTACAAGTTCACGTAGCCCCATATCCATCCTTAAATGGAAGACTTCTTTTCCCAGTTGCCTGGGCTTTATCAAAATTCATCATCTGAATTCCTTTCTATGGGCACACCTTGGAGATACTGCAGTTTCTGTTCCAGACCACAGCAATAAGACAAATGCCGCGATAAAGCGAGTCAAAATTTTTTTGGCTATCCAGTGCACATAAAAGTTATGTTTACACTATACTATAGTAAGTGTGCAGTAGTAGCATTAGGTCTTAAAAAAACAAAAAAACAACGTACATACCATAATTAAAAAGACACTTCATTGCTAAAAAATGATAACAATGCTGTGGGCTTTCAGCAAGTCATAATGACTGATCACAGGTCACAACAAATATAAGAAAAAATCTGAAATATTGTGAGAATACCAAAATGTGTGACACAGACACAAAGTGAGCTAAATGCAGCTGGAAAAGTGGCACCAATACCAACAGACTTACTTGTTCAATGCAAGGTCACCACAAACCTTCAACTTGTGAAAAACTACAGTATCTGCAAAGCACAACAAAGTGGAAGGCAATCTAACAAGGTGTGACTGTGCTTCCCTTCCCCAAAGATTTTTTCCAGAAGTTATTAAATTCCCCCCAAGCCTATTCAGGATGTTGAATAAATGTCTTCTCATATGAAAGAAAGTTATCAACACGGTAGACTATAAAAGATTTTCACAGACCCATGAAATATGCTCTCAGAAAGCCAAGACCTAGGCCAGCCTCAAATATTCTGAACATGGAACAAGCAGGTTCTCTCTTAAGAATTAAGGTTATAGAATCGCAGAGTGACTGTATCACCTATCTATGAACAAGTGTTCAGCCTCTAAAGGCACTAAGCATTTGCAAACACGAGTTTGTGGCACTGCACATCTTGATGTTGCTCTGTTTCAACAAGAAAAAAGTCTGTTTCCCAGGAATAACATCCCTCAGACTTATTTTTTTAAACTTATCGTACCTGCTTTGATTAAAAGTGTAGATTTTCACACGACAATGATTGTACTTCTGTAGTATTTTTTTTGTATCTTCATCCGTGTTAAAAGAGTTCATTAGAACAAGAGGAACATCTGTATTGTAGGTTTTGTTCAAATGCTAGGGAGGAAAGTAACAGATTACTCGGATTTACTTTACTTTCACTTAAAAGTGTAAAACCCTTAATGTTTAATCACAAAGTATCCAAAACATTACCTATATGCAGCCAAATATAAATATTTAGCATAAGCCAGACATTTTGCTAAATAGTTCACCATGTACTTGCTCATTAAATCACAGTCCTATGAAACAGAAACTCTTGTCTGTGTTATGTGGATGGCTAAACTGAGGCCCAGAGAGGCAGAGTCCAATTCCAGAGTTGTGTGCCCAGCCAGTGCCCTGTGGCCTTACTGGATAGGCAAATGCTGACTACGCATTTATTTACTCTGTCCAGAGCACAGTGGGGATGAAAGTACAAATCTTACAAAGACACAGCTCCCTACTCTCAGGATTCACGTTAAGAACTGTGAATCACTCCCCAACTGAAATCTTTTCAACCTCTAGGAAAAGTTAAGGGGCAACACAGAATGAGAAGAAAACAGGTTCTCAGAAGTCAGACTACCATCTTGGGCAAGTAAATCAACTTCTCTGTGCCTTGGCTTCCTCATCTGTAAAATGGGGATGAGAATAAAGAGTACTTAGCTGTTGAGTCAATTCATGAAAAGAGCTCAGAGTGATACTTAGTTTACAGTACATGCTAGATAAACGTGAGCTGCTGCTACTGCTAGTCTTGTAGCTGCCAGCGTCGTATTAGACACTAGAGATAAGAGATTCTTTTTTGCAAAACACAGGCCACTGCCTCTGAAGAATTTAAGGTCTGTGATTAACAACTTTATCGTAAGAGACACGGTTCTTAGCATCCACGGCACCCAACCAGATCTGAAAATTCTTCCTGGCCTCCCAAAAGGGGTTAATAAAGCCAGATCATCCCAGCTGGGAGGAAGGCTGCCACTAGAAAGAAATTTGGCAGAGGAGTGGGGGAGATCAAAGGAGACTCCAAAAAGATCCAGAATTGCAACAACCACAAGGGCTATTTAAGATCAAAAGCTTTTACATCACCCTAAGGATTTGCCCTTGGGATCACCAAACCTTTTTATGTACTAATAAAAAAACTAAAGATCGCAAATTCCTTGCTATCCACATCTGTTATTTCATAAGATAACATTTATAATAACCTAAAACTGACTTTAGTAGTTCATGAGAAAGGCTGAATGTTACTCACTTCAATTTGCTGAACAGTCAGATCCAAAAAGGTATTCTCATTCCTCACACCGATCAGACTTTTCGGACCTTTGCAGCCCATGCTGGTTCCCAAACCACCATTGAGTTTCACCACCACCAGCTTATTTAGTACAGAAGATATATTATCAGGTAAGCCTCTGGCCTTTATCTTTTCATAGGGCTGAATCTGAAATTGAAAAAATAGAATTCAAATAGGTTTTTTTTAAATGTTTATTCATTTTTGAGCTAGAGAGAGACAGAGCATGAGCAGGGGTGGGGCAGAGAGAGAGAGGGAGACACAGAATCCAAAGCAGCTCCATGCTCTGAGCGGTCAGCACAGAGCCTGACATGGGGCTCAAACTCACAAACCGTGAGATTATGACCATAGCCAAAGTCGGATGCTTAACTGAGCCACCTAGGCACTCCTAAAATTCAAATTGTTTTATGAGAGGTTAAATCCAGTCAATCTCAGGGTTATTTCCATGTTTTCTTAAAGAGTTTGCTTTCTTCACAGAAAGTTTCGACTGCATTTCCTTTAATGTCACAAGTCCTTCTGGTACAAAATCAAGTACTTACTTGCAACTTCTCTTGCACAAAGTAGTTCGGTGGTTCGGTGGCTCATTTACATTGTGATGGAGTACAAGAAGGGGGAAAAGTTACAGTCTACAAATATTTGCCTGGCTGGTGAGAACATGTAAGTCTCTTGAACTGCCTTCAAAAACTCAGAATTACTAATTTGCTTCAATATAGTAAATGGGATACACAAAACTCACCAAATCTTCAAACATTTCTGGTACAGAATGGATCTACTTCAATTCTGGAGAAGTACATATGTGATCACACATTATCCCTTCTCCCAAAGGAGGCAAAAACAAAAACCAAAATGTTCCTTGCAATTCTCCTCCATTCAACAGTTAAGTCTGCCCTTCAGAGAAAGGTGGTGTAGGGTTTTTGTCATACTTCTAAGTTAGAATTTAACTGTCAGGCATCATTTTATAGAGCTTGTACTGGAAAATTCAGTGTGTTCTCTCTGCTCCAATAAATACTCTGATGGGGTGGGAAAGGCAAGAGCTGGGGCTGGAGAGAATCTCCTGGTCTGTTTCTGGGAGCACAGAGCATTACTCTTCAACTTCTCCCTCCTAGAACAAGAACAACCACACAGTGGTAGACCAAATTCTTTTCTTCAAGGCAGAGGCACAGCCAAGTCTAAATATGTTATAGTAAGAATAAAGTTTTTACAAAGGTCATAGAATATTCTCTAACCAGTTGCAGGACTTTGTTATTCTTTATTGGAATACATCATCAAATGTACTCTTCAGTTACATACATCATCATGGTGTGGGACAGTTAACACTTAGGGGGCTGAAGAAATAAAACCATAAAGTGCTCACTTACTATGAGTTGAGCTATTTTTGTTTTGCTACCTGTAGAGCGTGTGTGGGTGGGTGGTGGATGAAGTCTATAATTGGGAAAGGAGTTCATGGGTTCACACTCCAGTGATTAGGTTGTGGAGGCAAAAATCCCTTTATACTTGGTCAAACATACATATGTGTCCTATGTCGATTCCTGACCACACAATTTCTACTGTTAGCAGCTCTTTCCACACAAACTAGTCTGGGACTCTTATTTCCTCTACCTTGCAAGACACTCTGCTAACTGCAGACAAATGCACTTTTGCTTGGTGTAAATAGTGAGAAACATGAAACACTCTTCTCCAAGACTCTCTGCTGGTTACCACCCCAGTTATCACTAGCGCCACTAAGTAGTCTTCTGCAGTCATTCATATTTAAAAGGGCTGGTGACAGAGAAAGACCAAAGGAGAAGACAGGCTTGTGGGCACCATGGCCTTCAGTGGATGCTACCCCAATACTAGGATGCTAACTACCAAGGAAAAGAAGGGTAGGGAAGCAGGAAAGAACACGGACTATACTGGTTGCTTCCCTGGCAGGACCTGGTCCAGTTGAGGACAACACATGGATGAAAACAACTTGGATACCCAGCACACACACACACACACACACACACACACACACACACACACACACAACCCAGGGCCCAAATAGCTGACATTCCTTGAAGGATGTTTTGACTCCACTGCCATGAACATTGTTTCTTCAGCATGTCAGAGAAGCTGGTAATATTGTTTGGGAGAAAAAGCCCAATTTAAGTGCTATACTACTAGAAAAATAAGAGGAGATGACAAAGCTGGAACTTGTCACCCTAATAAAACATGGCAGTTTGTAATCCTTTCAAAAGCCCAGCTGTTGAAATCAACCACTCAGTGAAAGGAATGCCACTGTGATATATAATGCCTTCAAACAGTCTATTATTAGGTTAGGAGAATTTCTTGGGCACATTACATTTACTCGAAGAGTTACAAAATGGAACCCAAGCCAATTAGTTTCCAATTATCTTTTAAAAGCCAAGAATTTCCATTCAGCAGTTATTTTTGACTTCCCAAAAAAGACTTATTTACGGAGGTCTCAAAAGGGTGTGAAAATCAATTTAACTAAAACTCCCTAGTTCATGCATTCATTTTAAGTAAAATTATCAGTTCAGAAATATTTTTACCTATTTAATGCTTCCTTTAATATATTTTTAAAAAATACATAAAAGCAATTTTTTTTCTACATATGGTAGACAGGCCTACATTTTCCAATTTCACCTAAAAAATTTTCATTATGAAACAGCATACATACAAGTTCATAAAATATATACAGTTGAAAGTCAAAGAACCTGAATAAATAAGATTATTACCACAACTTATAAGTCTCCTTGAGTTTGTCCCTGATCATATTCCTCTTCCACCCCTAGTGGTAACCACCATCTTGACTTTTACTTTATTTTTTACCACCTATGTATGTATCCATAGTGATAATATTTTACTTAATTTCATCTCTAAACTTTCGACTTGCTGGTTTAATCCATTGTTATACTTAAGAATAATTCACATTAATGCCTAAAGCTATAGTATATTCAGTTTTCACTGCCATATGGTACTCATTTTATATATCCATTAAAAGAATGGCTGTCACTATTCACAGATGATATGATTCTATATAGAGAAAATCCAAAGACCCTACAAGTAAGTTATTAGAATAATGTGAGCATAGCAACATTGAAGATACATGATCAATATTTTAAAAAACAACTGTTTTTAGAGCCCTGTACTCTGCTGGTGAGAATGTAAAAAGGTGTCCAGCTGATAAGAAAAAAAGTATTGTGGCTCCTAAAAAAACTTTAAATAGGGGCGCCTGGGTGGCGCAGTCGGTTAAGCGTCCGACTTCGGCCACGTCACGATCTCGCGGTCCGTGAGTTCGAGCCCCGCGTCAGGCTCTGGGCTGATGGCTCAGAGCCTGGAGCCTGTTTCCGATTCTGTGTCTCCCTCTCTCTCTGCCCCTCCCCCATTCATGCTCTGTCTCTCTCTGTCCCAAAAATAAACGTTGAAAAAAAAATTAAAAAAAAAAAAAACAAAAACAAACTTTAAATAGAATACCATATGATCTACCAAATCCACTTCTGGGTATACACTCCAAAGAATTGAAAGCAAGTTCTCAAGGAGATGTTTGCACACTTTCCTTCATTATTCACGATAGCCAAAAAGTGGAAGCAACTCAAATGTCCATCAACAGATGAATGGATAAAACAAAATATGGCACATACACGCAATGGAATAGCATTCGGCTTTAACAACGGAAAGAAATTCTGATACATAGTACAATATGAACGAAGTATTAGGTTAAAGTGAAATAAGCCAGTCATAAAAAACAAATACCTGTATGATTCAACTTAAATGGGGCACCTAGAGTAGTCAGACTCCTATAGACAGAAAGCAAAAGGGTGGTTACCAAGGACTGGGGAAGGGAGGAATGGGGGAGTTGTTTACTGGGAACAGTTTTCGTTTTGCAAGATCAAAGATTCTGGAGGTTGGTTGCATAACAATGTGAACGTACTAATGAATTTTATGTTTAGAAATGTTTAAAAATGATTGAAAGAAGATTAACTGTCTCTCTCTCTATATATGAAGAATTAGAAAACAGGATTAAAAATAGCAAATATTTAGGAATAAATCTAACAAAAGATATGCAAGACTTCTCTACACTGAACACTATAAAACATTTCTGAGAAAAATGAAAAGACTTAAATAAATTCAAGGATGTATTTATCATGTTTATAAACTCGTAGACTTACAAATGTAAAGATGCCAATTCTTCCCAAACTGATCACTGCAATCCTAACCAAAATCACAACAGTTTTTTTTGTGTGTGTGGAAACTGACAAGCCTATTTAAAAGTGTATGAAAATGCCCTATGACCCAGCAATAGCACTGTTAGGAATTTACCCAAGGGATACAGGAGTGCTGATGCATAGGGACACTTGTACCCCAATGTTTACAGCAGCACTCTCAACAATAGCCAAATTATGGAAAGAGCCTAAATGCCCATCAACTGATGAATGGATAAAGAAACTGTGGTTTATATACACAATGGAATACTACGTGGCAATGAGAAAGAATGAAATATGGCCTTTTGTAGTAACGTGGATAGAACTAGAGTGTTATGCTAAATGAAATAAGTCATACAGAGAAAGACAGATACCATATGTTTTCACTCTTACGTGGATCCTGAGAAACTTAACAGAAGTCCATGGGGGAGGGGAAGAAAAAAAAAAAGAGGTTAGAGAGGGAGAGAGCCAAAGCATAAGAGACTCTTAAAAACTGAGAAAAAACTGAAGGTTGATGGGGGATGGGAGGGAGTGAAGGGTGGGTGATGGGTATCGAGGAGGGCACCTTTTGGGATGAGCACTGGGTGTTGTATGGAAACCAATCTGACAATAAATTTCATATTAAAAAAAGTGTATGAAAATACAAAGGGCAACGAATAGACAAGACACTCTGAAAGAAAACCATCAAGTTGGGAGAACCAACTTTGTGACAGTCTTTTCTAATTGTAGTAGCATAAAATTTGCCAACCTAGCCATTTTAAGTGTATAGTTCAACAGTATTAAGTATATTCACACTGTTGAGCAACCAATCTCCAGAATTATTTTTGACTTGCGAAACTGGAACTATACTCATTACAAAACATGTCCCCATTCCCTCCTCCACCCAGCTCCTGGCAACCACCCTTCTGTCTTCTGCCTCTAGGAGTCTGACTACTCTAGAAACCTCATACAAGTGGAATGATA